ATAAAGTATGAACATAAAGTATGAACATAAAGTATGAACATAAAGTACGAACATGTTCAGCATCAGTACTTGGTTGTGGCTCCTTGTGTCTGGATCTCTGCATCAATGCATCGTGGCACGGAGTGGATCAGTCTGTGTCTCTGCTCAGGATCTGAGTCCAGGTTGTTCTGATCGTGGCCTTCAGCTCTTCTCAATTGTTGGACCTTGTGTATCACATCTTCCTCTTCACAATACTCCATAGATCTTCTATGGGGTTAAGGTCAGGTGAGTTTGCTGGACAGTTAAGAACTGGGATACCATGGTCCTTAAACCAGGTACTGGTATCTTTGGCGCTGTGTGCAGGGGCCAAGTCCTGTTGGAAAATGAAATCTGCATCTCCATAAAGTTGGTCAGCAGCAGGAAGCAGGAAGTCTCTAAAACTTCCTGGTAAATGCTGCGTAGACTTTGGACCTCAGAAACCCAGTGGAGCAACACCAGCAGATGACATGGCCCCAAACCATCACTGACTGATTCTGTGCCTCTCCTCTTCCTCCAGACTCTGGGACCTCGATTCCAAAGGAAATACAACATGTACTTTCATCAGAGAACAGAACTTTGGACCGCTCAGCAGCAGTCCCTGGTCAGACACTTCTGACACTGTCTCTTGTTCAAGTGTGGCTTGACACAAGGAATGTGACAGCTGAAACCCATGTCTTGCATACGTCTGAGCGTGGTGGTTCTTGAAGGACTGACTCCAGCTGCAGTCCACTCTCTGTGAATCTCCCCCACATTTTGGAATGGGTTTTGTTTCACCATCCTCTCCAGGTGCAGTTATCCCTGTTGCTTGTGCATGTTTTTCTACCAAATCTTCTCCTTCCCTTCACCTCTCTATTAACGTGCTTGGACACAGAGCTCTATGAACAGCCAGCCTCTTTAGCAATGACCTTTTGTGTGTTGCCCTCCTTGTGCAAGTAGGTCATCTTTTGGACAACTGTCAGTCAGCAGTCTTCCCCATGATTGTGCAGCTACAGAACCAGACTGAGACCATTTAAAGGTCTTTGCAGGTGTTTGGAGTTAATCAGCTGATCAGAGTGGCACCAGGTGTCTTCAATATTGAACCTGTTCACAATATTCTCATTTTCTGAGAGACTCAATTTGTGGTCAGTTATAATCATGAACATTAAAAGAAATAAACATTTGAAATATATCAGTCTGTGAGTAATGAATGAATAGAATCTACAAGTTTCACTTTTTGAATGGATTTAGTGAAATAAATCAACTTTTTCATGATGGTCTCATTTAATGAGCAGCTCCTGTATAAAACGCTTCATCATTGATTGAATCACATTAAACACGTTTCTGTTTCCTCTCATCGATTCTTTCATTTCAATCCTTAAATAAAACTCAACTCTCAGTGAGTGAAAACAAAGCTCAACTTTATCTTTCTATCGTTCTCTCTCCCCCTCTTTATCTTTCTCTCCCTCTTTCTCCCCCTCTTTCTCCCCCTCTTTATCTTTCTATCGTTCTCTCTCCCCCTCTTTCTCTCTCCCTCCCTCTTTATCTCTCCCCCCCTCTTTCTCTCTCTCCCCCTCTCCCTCTTTCTTTGCTGCCACGAGTTTCCGTTCAGCTCTGAGGAAAGTTGCCAAATAAAAGATGCAGCAGGAGTTTGTCCAGAGGAAAAGATTTCTCTCCTACAGAAACTTACATTGAGTCAGGAAGTCCTCTGAAGAGTGGACTCTTGTGGACTCTGGTGGACTCTTGTGGACTCTGGTGGACTCTTGTGGACTCTGGGCTCCAGTTTTCCAGCTCGGTTGTTGCTCGACTCTCTTCACCTCCACGTTGTCTCCTCCACGCAACAATGAATGGCTCCGTCCTCCTCCTCCTCCTCCACACAGACTCAGCACTGGTGGGCGTGACAGCCCCACCTCCACCATTCGCCCCGCCCCATATCCGCCCACCCACTCGGCCCCGCCCCCTCAGGCTGGACTCAGGAATCGGTCAGACAGGAAATATTCAGATTTTTTTCATTCAAGCTTCATTTCTACAGTTGGTCTCATTGATCCTGGAGGACTCGTTTAAAGAGAGACCTGATTTAAACAAAGAACACACATGAGATACAGACAACAATAAACAGCTGTAAAAAGCATATAAAATAAAAAAATCAAAGTAGTGATCTAAAAAAGTTCAATCTGGTCCTCTGGACATTCAAATCAACAAAAAAATGTAGAAACGTTTCGTCTCTCATCCTGAGGACTTCCTCAGTCTGAGGTGCTGTATTCAGCTCAGTCTCTTAAATAGCACCTTCTCAGAGTGGATCAACCAGTTTGCTGCTGACAACCAGAACCAGCTGATCACATGCTCAAGAAGGACCATCAGCCTAACAATGGATCATTAGCACCTGATGGCTGTTTACTGTTCACAGAGGGCTGAGTGATACTAGCAA